CAGTTTATCAGTACAATAAAATATATAAAATAATTTGATAAGTAATATAAATGGCTTAATTAATTATGAAACGTATAATATATAATTAATAATAAAATATAACAAATATTAAAAAATGATCACAGAACAAAAAAGGATTTCGTCTTTTAGATTTGGCAAATTCGTCAATTACTTCTTCACAGTCAATACTAATATTTCTATAACAATTAATTAATGCAAGTCCGTTTAAGCGCTCTTCGGATAAAACAATACATTTTATCGGCTGCCGAAAATAGATAATATAATAGAAAATCCACCAGTCTACAGGGAACAGGGGGGCCATAGCCCCTTAGATCGGCGCCTGCAACGGCACCACTACAATACTTACTATATAGTACTGTCAGCTCTGTCGGTTATCAAATGTTTTGTTTCACATTAATTTCACACAATGTTTTTGTTACACTCGTACATAAAAGACGTAAACCCGTTGCATGGAGAGGGAAATTCAGGCGGCCAGATAGTTTAACGCAGCGCCGCGACGACGGATTACGCAACGAGTGATTGCAACCGACGAGTGGAAGGGGAAAAATGGGCGGCCAGCACAAACATAACTTTATACATTGCGGAATTGATGAAAAAAATTGCGTTTTGCTTAATTATTATGCTAATACTTTAGCATATAACTAAGGCTGTAATACTCCGATAAACCTTAAATTTTCACAAAATCATCTACACACTAAACTGAACTATTCGTGAAAGTTTCAAGTCAATTGGTTCATTAGTTTAGRCTACAGGGTAGTCGACATGATTTTCGTTAGATAACATCGGTTAAAGTACAAGTTGGCTCTCTCGTGCAATATACACCGACGTCGTCGCGCGATAGTTTCTTTCATTTTTTTACTCATYTCTGCGCCGCGTCCGCGGCGTTGGATCTATGGCATTACTAAACATTCCACCTCGAATGTCACATGGATCATACTATCATAGGTGTAAGAGGACACTGAGGTTGGCTGTTCAAGTGAAAASATTCGTTGAGATCGGAGCAGGCGCCGGCACACGAAGGTAGCCAACTGCCCGCAGTTCTAAAAATTATGTGTCGGGTATGTATTGATGGCCATACCCCACTTGAACCGAACAGGCCAAGTGTTCCATGTAAGCGGAAGACACCCTTTTGAGGGTATCGTTGCCGGCCAGTCCTATATGGCCCTACTGGAATACCCGCCA